TTGGTGCGCTTGCTGTTGGCGCACTTGCTGCTGGCGCGCTTTCTGTCAGCGTGCTTGCTGTCGGTGCGCTTGCGGTCGGCACGCTTGCTGTCGGCGCGCTTGCTGTCGGCGCGCTTGCTGTGGGCACGCTTGCTGTTGGCGTGCTTGCTGTGGGCGCGCTTGCTGTCGGCAACAGAAATGGTTGTCAACGCGCTAGCTCTTGGCATGCTTGCTGTTGGCATGCTCGCTGTTGGCGCGCTCACTCTTGGCACGCTTGCTGTCAGCTCGCTTGCTGTTGGCATGCTTGCTGTTGGCGCACTTGATTGTGGCGCGCTTGATTTTGGCGCCACTTGCTGTCCACACACTTGCTGTTCGCGCACTTGCTGTTGACGCACTCGCTGTTGGCGCACTTGCTGTTGCACTTGCCAGTCGTGCACTTGCTGTTGGCGCATTTGTCTGGGCGCACTTGCTGTTAGTGCACTTGCTGTTGGTGCACGTGCTGTTAGCACACTTGCTGTTGGCGCACTTGCTCTCGGCGCACTTGCTCTCGGCGCACTTGCTGTCGACGTGCTTGCTGTCGGCGCGCTTGCTGTTGGCTGTCGTCGCGCTTGCTGTTGGCGCGCATGCTCTTTGCGCGCTTGTTGTTGGCGCCCTTGCTGTTGGGGCGCTTGCTGTTGGCGCGCTTGCTGTGGGCACGCTAGCTGTGGGCACGCTTGCTGTCGGCACGCTTTCTGTGGGCGCGCTTGCTGTTGGCGCGCTCCCTGTTGGCGCGCTCAGTGTTTGCGTGCTCCCTATCGCCGCGCTCGCTGTCGGCGCGCTCGCTGTCGGCGCCGCTCCCTGTTGGCGTGCTTGCTATTGGTGTGCTCACTGTTGGCATGCTTGCTGTTGGCGCACTTGCTTTTTGGCGCACTTGCTTTCGGCGCACTTGCTGTTCGCGCCCTTGCTGTCGGCGCCCTTGCTGTGGACGTGCTTGCTGTTAACACGCTTGCTGTTGGCGCGCAAGCCTTGGGCGCACTTGCTTGCCGGCGCGCTTCCTGTTGGCGCGTTTGCTGTCAGCGCGCTCAGCTGTCAGCGCGTTCGCTGTCGGCGCGCTTGCTGTCGGCGGCGCTCGTTGTCGGCGCGCTCGCTGTCAGTGCGCTTGCTGTCAGCGTGCTTGCTGTTGGTGCGCTTGCTGTTGGCATGCTTGCAGTCGAACTTGCTTTTGGCGCACTTGCTGTGGGCGCCCTTGCTATCGGCGCCCTTGCTGTGGGCGCCCTTGCTGTGGGCGCCCTTGCTGTGGGCGCCCTTGCTGCTGGCGCGCATGCTGTGGGTGCGCAGGCTTTTGGGGCGCTTGCTGCCGGCGCCCTCCCTGTTGGCGCGCTCCCCTGTTGGCGTGCTCCCTGTCCGCGCGCTCGCTATCGGTGCGCTCCCTGTCGGCGCGCTCGCTGTCGGCGCGCTCCTTGTCAGCGCGCTCGCTGTCAGCGCGCTCCCTGTCGGCGAAATCCCTGTCGGCGTGCTTGCTGTCGGCGCGCTTGCTGTCGGCGCCCTTGCTGTGGACGCCCTTGCTGTGGCCGCCCTTGCTGTCGGCGAGCTCGCTGTCGCGCGCTCGCTGTCGGCGTGCTCGCTGTCGGCGCGCTCGCTATCGGCGCGCTCGCTGTCTGCGCGCTCGCTGTCTGCGCGCTTGCTGTTGGCGCGCTTGCTTTTTGGCGCCATTGCTTTGGGCGCCCTTGCTGCTGGCGCCCTCGGCGCGCTCGCTGTCGGCGCGCTTGCTGTCGGCGCGCTTGCGCCGGCGTGCTTGCTGTTGGCGCGCTGCTGTTGGCGCGCTTGATCTGGTTCGCTTGATGTCGGCGCCGTTGCTGTTGGCGTCCTTGCTGTTGGCGCGCTTGCTCTTGGCGCGCTTGCAGCTGGCACGCTTGCTGTTGGCGCACTTGCTGCTGGCGCACTTGCTGTTGCACTTGCCATTCGCGCCCTTGCTGTCGGCGCGCTTGCTGTTGGCGCGCTTGCTGTGGGCGCGCTCGATGTGGGCGCGCTCGCTATGGCGCGCTCGCTGTCGGCGCCCTCACTGTTGGCGCCTCGCTGTCGGCGCCCTCGCTTTCGGCGCCCTTGCTGTCGCCGCCCTTGCTCTCGCGCCCTTACTGTTGCCGCCCTTGCTGTCGACGCCCTTGCTGTCGGAGCCCTCGCTGTCGGCGCCCTCGCTGTCGGTGCCCTCGCTGTCGGCGCCCTCGCTGTTGGCGCGCTCGCTGTTGGCGCGCTCGCTGTTGGCGCGCTTGATGTCTGCGCCCTTGATGTCGGCGCCCTTGATGTTGGCGCCCTTGCTGTCGACGTCCTTGCTGTTGGCGCCCTTGCTGCTGGCTCGCTCGCTGTTGGCGCGCTTGCTGTTGGCGCGCTTGCTGTTGGCATGCTTTCTGTTGACGCACTTGATGTTGACGCACTTGCTTCTGACGCACTTGCTTTTGGCGCCCTTGCTGTTGGCGCACTTGCTGTTGGCGCACTTGCTGTTGGTGCACGTGCTGTTGGCGCGCTTGTTGTTGGCGCGCTTGTTGTTGCCGCACTTGTTGTTGGCGCACTTCCCTTTGGTGCACTTGCTTTTGGCGCACTTGCTGTTGCACTATGCACCATGCACGCCATGCACCATGCACCACACACCTCCTACTATTCCTCTATAGTCTTTTGTTCTACGCTTTGTCCTTCCATTTCTCCTCGCCGTCTTTGTTCTCTGTTTCTATGTTCGCTTCCAGTTTTATTACTTGCTCTCCCCACTACGCACCTTGCTTTTTGTCCTCTTCTATACAGCCAATCCTCTCGATTGGGCTCGTTTGATTTCATCAGCTAGCAAACTTGCCAATTGGCTCAGCTGTAAGTTTGTTGCAAGCATATACTGATATGTGTTAGTTGTTAGTTCCTCGTAATACTTCCCTCTTCGGTCTCTCATCATTGCCTGTTATGCGCCCTATTTCTGTCGTGTATTTCATCTTGTCTTCTTGCCCTCTTGTCCTTCCATCGACCGTTCCTCTCTTCCATTTTCCTTTCTACCCTTAGGCTCTTGCCTCTTGCCCTTTCTCACCCTTCTCTACCTTTACCTCCCTTGTGATAACCACCGGTTCGTACTTGCAACTGAGGGGGCATCATTTGGTTGTACAAACTGCAGCTACATTTGTGCATTGCCAAACGGGGTGCAGGGGGGAACGGGGCGTGGGGGGGGAGGGAGGATGGTGGGGAGCGGAGGGGAAGGGGGTGGGGGATAGTAAGGGGAGGGGGAGAGTGTGCATCAACACAACTAGCAATAATTGAGTAGTTGAGCCTATTCGACTCTTGTGATGTTTTCTCAGAGTTCTTGTGTGTGCTGTTATTGCCTGAACTCCTATGATGTGTGGTTTCTATCCTTTTTGTCGCGTTTGTTTTTTCCCCTTACTTTCTCGCCCTTCTTTTTCCCTCTTGCTTATTGTGGGTGTTTCATGTGTCATGGGTCTGTGAGTGTATGTTGGATTGAATGGTATGAATCGTTATGTAATCATCACTGTCGATGTCATGTTTGTAGTGGAGTGATGCATATATGCCAAGTGCTTTACGCAAGTTGCAGTTGTCGTTGTCAGCTTGGACAGCATCGCTTCCGTTTTGTACATGTCAGCCTCACTTGCAGCACGGAAGCATTCGTGTATCGCTTCATTGCATTTACAACATGCGTTATATGTTCGCATATCGTACGTGTTTGTGCTGGAGTGGTGCATATATGCCAAGTGCATTACACAAGTTGAGGTTGTCGTTTTCAGTTTGGAAAGCATCGCTTCCAAAACGTACATGTTGTTAGAAACAGAAAGGTTCAGTTTATTGATGAAGCAAAGGCATTACATAGGAAGAGAGGGATGAGCTAGGAAGGGAAGGTTGGAAGGGAAGGTTGGAAGGGAAAGGGGGGTTAGGACCAATCATAAGGAGGAGGATCCTTCCAAATGTGGTTGACCACCAGTTGGAGGTGGTCCAAGTGTGGTGTACCACCAGTGGTTTAGCCAACCCACTTGTGGTGCCCCCACAATTGTGGTCCTTGTGTTTGGGGGCTCCAACCACAATTGGGTTGGATTGACACCCCAACACAGGTGTACACCCAACTAGGATGTAAACACAATATACACAACTAGCATAGCATGGTATATTCTAACACAACCTCATAGCATACAAAGCTAGTGTATATGTAGGGTACAACCCCAGAATCAGGAAGGGGGGCGGGCCCAAGGCCGAGAAGGCGGAGGAGGGCAGAGTGCGCGGTCTTCGGGAGGGCTTGGTGAAGATGTCGGCCAAGTTGGCCTCTGCAGCGATCTTGCGGACCACCAAGTGACCTTGCGGACCAACTCTCGAACGAAGAAGTAGCGGAGTTCAATGTGCTTGGAGCGGCCATGGAAGACAGGGTCCTTTGTGAGATGGATGGTGCTGGCGTTGTCGCACCAGAGGGTGGGACAGCGCTGAGGAGCACCGATCTCAGCAAGGAGGAAGGTGAGCCAGCGAGCCTCCTGAGCGGCCATGGTGCACAGCATAGAGCTCAGCCTTGCAGGATGACAGGGCGATGGAGGAGGAGCGAGTGGAGCGCCAGCTGATGAGGCGCTGCCAAGGGTGAAGCCGTAGCCTTGAGAGGAGCGGCGATCCGGCTGGGAGTCAGCCCAGGAGGAGTCACTGAAGCCAGAGAGGAGGGGAGGAGAAGAGCCTCCGAGGGTGAGCGACATAGTCCTTGGTACCACGCGAGGTAGCGGAGGGACCCGCTTCGCTGCAGCCCAGTGCTCATCAGTGTGGCGACGCGGTACCGACGAATCGAGCAAGAACACTGATGGGGTAGGCAAGGTCGGGGCGGTGCACATCATAGCGTACATCAGCGAGCCGACGAGCTCAGCGTAAGGATGGTCAGAGGAGGAGGGAGCAGGAGGAGGGGCAAGCTGGTGGTCGGTCTGCAGGGGAGTGGTAACCGGCTTGGCCTGCACCATGTCGAACCGCTGCAAGACTTGGTCGATGTAGAAGGACTGAGAGAGGGTAATGGTGCGCCGATGTGCGGTCCCGGTTGATGGTCATGCCCAGATAGTGCTTGAGCTCACCAGGTCCTTGCACTTGAGGCGAGCATGCAGGGCGTCCTTCACTGCTGCATGGCGGCAGCATCGTCACGAACAGGATCATGTCGTCGACATACACCAGGATGAAGAAGCGGGTGGGAGAGGAGCGAAGGAAAAGGCTGGCATCAGACTGAGAGGCATGGAACCCCAAGGACTGCAGAGTGGCGGCCAGCTTGTTGTGCCACTCGCGAGGAGCCTGCTTGAGGCCATAAACCGGGCGGCGCAGCTCCCAGACTGTGTTGGCAGGGAAGGCTGCATGAAAGCCTGGAGGCCGCCGCAAGAGGACCCGCTCCTGGAGCTCGCCTTGCAGGAAGGCGTTGGAGACATCCATGGAGGCAATCTCCATGCCAATGCGAACAGCATAGTCGAGGATGGCACGGAGAGTTGGGAGCTTGGCAGTGGGAGAGAATGTCTCCCAGTAGTCGATGCCATGGGTTTGGGTGAAGCCCTTGGCACAATACCGGGCCTTGTAGACCGGCTCCTCACCCGGCAGCTGCTTCACTCGGAACACCCACAGGCCTTCAACAATGACGTCGTCAGGAGAGGGGACAATGTTAACGAATGAGGCATTGCGGATGAAGGCCTCGCATTCAGCAAAGATAGCCTGGATCCACTTGGCAGCATCGGGGCAGGTGATGGCCTCAAGGAAGTTGGACGGAGTGAATCTGGTGGGAGCGGTAGCGATGCCAAGGATGAGGAGGCCAAGGAAGCCCGGGTAGAGAGGCGTGAGGGAAGGTGTTTGTTGCTGAACGCCAATGAGCTCCTCATGGGAGTCCTCAATGAAGGGAAGGGAGGGTGGGGGTGGTGTTGGCCAACCCCATGGATGGCCTATGAGTGGGCCGTGAGAGCGAGTGTGGATGCGTGGGAGGATGAACGGAGAGGTGGTGCGGCGATGCCGATGAGGTTGCTGCAGTGGCTGCTGCTGCTGCTGCTGCTGCTGTGGCTGCTGCTGGTGCTGCTGCTGCACCTCCTGCTGCGGCTGCTGTTGCTGCACTGCCTGCGGTTGCTGCTGCTGCTGCTGCTGCTGCTCCATCCGCTGCTGCACCTCCTGCTGCTGCTGCTGCTGCTGCTGCTGCTGCTGCTGCTGCTGCTGCTCCATCCGCTGCTGCTGCTGCACCTGCTGCTGCTGCTTTGCTGCTGCTGCTGCTGCTGCTTCTGCTCTGCTGCTGCTGCTGCTGCTGTGCTGCTGCTGCTGCTGCTGCTGCTGCTGCTGCTGCTGCTGCTGCTGCTGCTGCTGCTGCTGCTGCTGCTGCTGCTGGTGCTGGTGCGATGAGGCAGAGTGAGCAGGGGAGTCAGGGACAGCTGGGTCGTAAATGTCACCTGAGGAAGGAGGAGGGGGAGGAGCAGGATTTGGAGGAAGGAGGGGAGCCTGGGGAAGGAGTGGGGAATGACAGCATCAGCCCAGGTGAGGGGGCGGGAGAGAGGAGGAAGGGGTCGGAAGGCGGAACAGAATGATAGAACGGGATGCTCTCATCGAACACCACGTCACGGCTCTGTAGGAGGCGGCCTGAGGACGGGTGAAGGAAGAGGTAACCAGGGGCAGAGCGAGCGTGGCCAAGGTAGACACACTCAATGGCCTTGGAGGCGAGCTTTCCTGCCTGCCGAGAGCGGTCAGGTGGGGGGATGAGGACATATGCCTTGCAACCCCAGATACGGAGAATGGCAGCATCTGGCTTGGTGCTAGCCCAGAGCTCAGTGGGAGTGACAGACTGGCGTTGAGGATGTGGGTAAAGATTAGTAAGGAGAGCAGCATGGACAAGGGCATAGCCCCAAAGAGAAGGGGGCGTGGAGGCATGAGTGAGGAGGCAGCGGGCCGTCTTGGTGATCTCACGAATGCGACTCTCAGCAACACCGTTCTGCTGAGGGGAGTGGGGAAGGGTATGAGTCTGCTGGATGCCATGGGTTGAGCAGTAGGAGGAGAGGGTGCGGTTGAGAAACTCACCACCGCCGTCGGAATGGAGGCGGCGGATGGGGCGACCAAAGTGGACTCGGCACTGCTCGGCCCAGGTAACGATGACAGCAGGGGCCTCGGCCTTCGTGTGGAGGAGGAACACCGAGGAGTACCTGCTGTGGTCGTCGACTAGGACAAGCATGTACCGGTGCCCTTGGCGGGAAGGGGAAGGGTTAGGGCCCCAGAGGTCCATGTGGACGAGGTCAAGGGGGCAGCAGCAAAGGAAGGATGACTGAGGTGAGGCTGTTGTTTGAGCTTTCCATGAATGCATGTGGCGCATGGGGAGCGGAAGAGGACGGGAGGGGAGGAAGAGTGGGGGAGAAAAGTCTGCCACGTCTGTTGCGATGGTTCATCAGGAGAACCAGAAGCACCTTCAGGAAGACTTAAACAAATCGAAGGAGTTGGAGGTTGAAGAGATACTGCTAGCTTCTGCTTCACACCTCACTGCTCTGGCAACCAAGCTCGAGGACTACATCCAAGGCCTCAGCGCTGACCCTGACTTAGCCGTCTCTGACGCGGCTAAGGAGCGATACCGAATCCTCAAAGGTACGTGCGTGGAGAAGGCCAAGTCCAAGATCGCTGCCGCCAAAGATGAAACCGTCATCAAGGAGGTAGAGAGCAGAGGCTCAAGGAGGCTGAAGATTTGAAGAAATCGGCCGCTGCTGAAGAACTGAGAGAAGATTGGAAACGGATTCGACATTCGAGGAGCTGCTGGAGAAATGCGTGACGAAGCTCGAACTCAAGATGCGCAAGGAATTCAAGACGCAACTTGATACGAGTCTATCAGCGGCGTTTCAACGGGGCGTCTCAGTGGGACGACAGCAGGGTTCCGCGTCGACCACTGCGCATTCCAAGACAGCGGAGGACCAGTCGAAGAACCAGAAGATCAACTTCTGGAGGCGCGGTGGACGTACACTCAAGCTCGGAAGAAGCGCGGAAAAGATAAGAAGA